AATTGGTGATTGATATTGGTTCTAATACTTTTTTAGTAAAGACAAGATTTACATAATTCTAGTATTACCTTAGATTTGAAGTTGATGGCATTCCGAGGCATGTATACCCTATAGGATATGTGAATTATTGTGGTGATAGATCTTGTGTGGATTGGGTTTAATGTAGCTTAAACTAGAAAGGTATAGCATGTCAGCCACCTTTTGTGATAGATGATTTTACTGATTAGTACTTTTTTTTATACCTTTCTCTTGTTTAACTTGTTCAAAGCATTCAAAATCTTACTCAACTCCCCTTTAAACTTTTGTTGAATTTTTTCTATCCTTTCGAGATTATTAGAATTTTTTTATTTCATTTGTCTAGCTTAAGCTCTTGTATTATATTGATGGGTTGATTGTGTGGGGTTTTTACTTGATGAAGCTATCCTTGAACTTTAAGTACCACAATTGTATTATTATTAGAAATGACAGGCTTTATGTTTGGTATGTCAATGCATGAATAGAATGTACATTTTTGTGAATGAAATCTAATATGTGGCAAATATTCCTTATATAAGAATGATACAAATGACAATGTTAAAATATGAGTATGAAAATTATGCATAGGATGATATTGAAATGATGCAATGCACAAAGCCAAACAAACAAAATGGTTAGATCACAAACTGTTCCTTTTTGTGTCCTAATTTTAGGGTACATCTATCAATGGATAGGAATAGCTCTATCTTAAGGCTAGCCTCTTAAATGTAGATTATATGCTAGGTTAAGTGATTTTGACTACTAAAGATTCTCAAATTGTTCCTTACATCATGGTCCATTACAGACTACTAAGGCATTCTAATCCTCACCCATCGCAGGCTAGCAACAAAAAGATTCAATTTGAGTATAAGTATTTTGCTAGCAATTGTGAAGATTATCATCTCACGAGAGTGTAGGTACTTTACTCCCTATTAAGAGAGACGGAGCTCGGGTGTAGAGCTTCTATAATGCAAATGCATGTGATAGTATGTGAAGAAACATAAAATTTTCAATCCCATAAATCAAATAAGAGACAAAAAAAAGTTAGTAAACAAATAACAAAATTATTACATTTTAAAACCATTAGACTAAAGGATAGGATAAATTTAAAATTTATGGCTTGACTCTCTATTGCTCCCTAGTGAAGTTGTCAAATTGTAATAACATATAGATTTGAAAATTTATAGCTATACTCATCTTAAAGAGTCATCACCAATCTTTTTTAACTAGGTGTGATTGGTTACCTAATGAATCTATCCTTTTAAGGAGCTCCTGAGCTTGATTAAGGGTCTCTAAAAGAACAGATTCTAGTCTACTAATCAAAATAGGGTTCAAAAGTTTGGTAACATATGGAAAATGTTATAGCACCTCCACATGCCCATCTAAAGGATGGTACCACTTTATTTTAAATTATCCTAAAGTCTTGATTCTAATAGTTTTTATTAATATTGAAAATTATTTTTAAAATTTTTCATCAATCTGGTAGATTTTTTGAAAATATTTTCTCACCTTAATATTATTTAAGAATCTCATTTGTTTTCTTGAAGAGGCTATATTGCTAGAAAAAGTTTGATTATTTTTTTTATTTTTGGTTTTTGTTGAAAATATATCTAATTATTTCACCATTTGGGCAAATTACAAATATTTTTTTTAATTTCTAAAATTTTCACCATTTGACCTATTTAGAATTTTTTGTTAATTTTTTAATTTCTAAATTTTTCATCATTTGGGTTTATTTAAGAAGTTTTTATTTCTCTTTGAAAAGAAAATAATATAAAAATTATTTTTTATTAAAATTTTATTTAAATTCTTCCATTGTTAGAGACAAATTTAAAAAAATTTCTCACATAGAAATTTCTTAAAATTTTATCATTTAAAATTTTTAAGAATCTCATCATTGGATAGTTATCAAATATTTTTAACCAAAAATTTTTTATTTTACTTATTATTTTTTTTCTTTTTTTTTTTGTTTGAAAATAAATATTAATTATTGTTATTGAAAATTTATCTAAATAATTTCACAATTTGGGACAAATATAGAAAAAATTTCTCACCTAAAAAATTTGTAGAAATTTACCATTTGAAATTTTTAAAAATTCCATCATTGGATAATTAGTATTTATTCTAAAAAAAATTTTATTTTGTTTTATATTTTGTTTTATTTTTTTAAAATTTAATCATGCAAAAATACTAAAAATAAATAAATAAATAAATAACAAAAACAAAAATAAAAAATACTAAAAATGACTCTGCTCAACGGCTAAAAGGCTCAACTGCAGGCACAAATAGTGACTCAAAGATACGGCTCAGAGGCTCAGTTTAGTTTTGCTCAACTGAAGGGTTTGGTTGAGATGTGGGTTGGCAAAATGGGTTAACATTTGGGTCAAATTACCCAATGGAAACGCGCAGATCTTAAGGGGTGCTTAAGGCAAAAACATTATCGTTTTGGTAAGGTATAAATAGGTTAAAAATCTCTTTTCTTTAGATTTCATCTACTCCTTCTCTCTCTTCTTCCTTTTTCTTTCCCTCTCTTTCTAGACCCAAAGAACTCTGGTTGAATCTTCATCGCATTATGAAAAATCTCATCGAAATCTAGATTGGTTCATCAAAAGTTCATCGAAAAATTCAAACTTCACCGAAATCTTCAACCGAATTCTGAAAAACCTATAGGAAAACTCAAAACTCGCCAAAAAATTCACCGAAAACTAGAAAAAGTCATTGGAACAGAGAATTTTCTAGATTTTTCTAGAAAAAAATCTTAAAATTTTTTTTTTATTTTGCTAATCTCCCTACATTTTGCTGTATACTTTTTTGTCTTTTTATGTGTATTTTTCTATCTGCTTTTTTATCTCTGATTTGTTGTCTGATCTTCAATTAAGGTCTATATTTATAGGGTTCTAATTCAAAGAATTCTAATCCGGATAGAAATATCAATTTCTTTTAAACTTCAACTTTAAATCCCAAATTCAGCTTAGACTCAAACTCCTATTTTCTCATTTTTTTTTTTTTATTTTTAATTTTTTATTAACAAAATTAACCCAAATAGAACCTCAGATAGATTGGGGTGTCTACAATATATATGTACATATACATATATATATACATATATGTATATGTAAATACATGTATATGTATAGATATATATATAGTATTTGTATGTATATATACATGTATACATAATACATACATATACATATAGAACATGTATATGTATTTATATGTATAACATATACATGCATATATATATATATAGTATATATACATGTTCATGAATATATACATGTATATATATATATTACATATTAGGTTTTTAGATTATGGATTATATATAGTATCAAAGTTTGTACATATTTATATGTATATATATTTACATATATATATATGTATTACATATACATATATATATATATGTATATTTACATATACACGTATATATGTATATGTAAATACATATATACATGTATACATGTATATACATATGTACAAACATATGCATACATATACATGTATAACATATACATCCATATACATGTATATATACATTTATATATATTAGGTTTTAGATTTAATATTATATGTAGTAATCAAAGTTTGTACATATATTATAATTTACATATATGTATACATGTATTTACATATACATATATATATATGTTATAATATATATATATATATTTACATATACATATATATACATGTATATGTGTGTGTGTGTGTGGTGTATATATATATATATATATATATATATAAAGCATGAATGTTTTTGAAACTTACATGTGTAATTATTAGGTTTTAGATTTAATGATTATATATAGTATCAAAGTTTGTACGATGCTATAATTTGGAGTTTCAATTAATCTTGGTTTCCCCTCTTCTTGTAATGAGAATAAAAATTTCAAGATGAAATAAATAATAGATATGTTTCAAGATTATCTAACCTTTCATTTTTAGGATTTAAATTTTTTAAAATTCCTAACCTTTTGGAACATTTGCAAAAATTTAACGGTATAAAACCTAATTATATATTCAAGTTTCAATCATATATAATATTGCAAGGAAATTGCATATATATATATATATATATATATATATATATATACATACACACTAAATAGGGGTGCTATTCTCTTTTGTATATTCTCATGATCAAGAGAATTTTTTGTTCAGTTAAAAAAATCCAAAAAGTGAAATAAAGGAAACCCAAACTGACAAAAATTACATGCATGAAGTCTCCAAAAGGTGAATAAGGGGATGGGGTGACAAAAAAGAGTGGAATCATTATATACTTGGGTCCATGCATTTTGCCTAGATAAAGTCATGAAAATTTTAGGACAAAAAATCTGAATATATAATATACTTATATTTTGGGTGACTAAAAAATATTAAAAAAAGATTATGCCTTCTCTTTCTTCTTCTTCATTCTTCCCTTCCTTTTAGGGCAAACCAACAAGAATTATTTGGTTTTTGCAATCTCAATCATCATCATTATATATCATCATTTTCTCTTGAAATAAAAGCCAAAAGTGATTATACGTAAGTTCTTGAAAAACTAGTTTTACAAAACAAACTCATTTCTTTATCAAATTATATATGAACAATTTTATAAAATAATTCATGAGGCATTAGTCTGAACAATTCTTTTATATACAGTTATATTTCAAGTGTGAGAATTTTTTTAATAGTACATATATAATATATATATATGGATATTCTTAAATTTCTTTGAGCAGTACTGGATATTGGAGCAAAAATCAGAGTTTATAAATGATCACCAAGAGATTATATATTTACTCTCAATCTTTCATAAGTCATATCCTAGACAGACCATACCTCCAGAGTCTTGGCCAAAGACACCAAGCAATCTCTCGCTTTTTCTCTTTTTTCTCTCTATAAATATAGAATCTCCTCATTAAACCGATTAAAACCACACTAGCTTTGAGATTAGTATTTTTCTTGTTTTCCTTTCTCTTACAAAACAAGAAACAATGGCTCTAAATATTAGACAAGTAGTATATTTTATAACTATTTTCTCTTTTTTCACACGTTACAACTCTTTGAAAAAGGACCCACCTTCTTATAATTACATTGAAGAAGTAGTAGCTGATGGTTATGATCCACAAGCATATCCTTCATATTTCAGCACCATTGAAGATGGCATGCTTAAGGATTTGATGTGCCCAATGACTGATGTTCTTAGCCAGCAGGGGTTAGGTAATGAAGTGGATATCATCACATCAACTTCAACTAAAACAATTATTAATGTAAATGATTTTGGAGCAACTGGTGATGGAACTACTGATGACACAGAGGTTAGATCATACATAAATTTTAAATTTTGATGCTTTTTTTGCAGTTTTTATGAGTCATTATCATCGTTGCTTAATTTATACATTCATGGCGATTTGATGATTTTCATAATTATAGTTATATATACTAGACCTACCGCTCGATTTGTTTCTAATATCTAGAATAAATTATATCATTGGTACGTCACTTTTTTGTAATATTTTATTTTTGGTCATTACTTAAAAGACTTATTTTTTTTCACCTACAATCTTTTTATTTATTTTAAATTTATCCATTCGTCAATACGTTATTATAATACGTATAAAAATATGGATGAAATTTTACACGCGACGTTTTGATGAACATTATGTTCATATTCGAATGGTTATGTTCATTGTTCTGATACTAATTAGGCATTTGAGATGGCTTGGGAGGAAGCTTGTTCGTTAGAGGGTGCAGTTGTTCTTGAGGTGCCTGAAGGAAACAGCTATTTTCTTAGACCTATTAGATTTTCAGGTCCCTGCGAATCTAATCTTACAATCGAGGTGAGCCTGAAAACCCCATTAAACCTGAACCTGATCAATAAGATAACAATCGATCATCTGAAGAACTAATTATTTCAGATATATGGAACCATAGAAGCATCTGATGATATGTCAGACTACGAGGAAGAAAGCAGATACTGGCTCGTCTTTGATAGCGTTGACAATTTGATAATTGAAGGTGGCGGAAATATTAATGGTAATGGCGATATATGGTGGCAGAACTCTTGCAAAATCAACAAAGATCTGGTAAGTTCCTATATATGTTGATTTTATTTGTTCCATATTTTTATTGCTGTTCTTTAATCAAATTCTGACTATTTTTGTTTCTTTCATTGTTTTGCAGCCATGCACACATGCACCAACGGTAGGTTAAAATTTTAACACTATAAGAATTTCGGTTTTTTTTCCCATTTTTTTATTATCGTTTTATAAACTATTTTTACTCATTTTCTCTCTAAAATAACTTTGAAATTAAGATTCAGAACAGAATTCAATTTGCTTTCCTAAGAAAATACATATATTAGTGTATTATTTAGATCTTGTAAAATTACTTTTTGCACCATGTTCATTAAAACTAGTAATAAGAGAGAAAATTAGAAAGATTATCATGATTACTTAATATCTATTTTCAAAAAAAAACAAAGAAAAAATGTTATATATTTGCATCTTTACTATTTGCTACGATAATTTATATGTCAAACTCTTTAAAAAATCATTACATTAGAAAAATTTTAAAGTATTCGACAATTTGATTGTTCAACAATTATTAGTAATAAATATTTGTTACTTCAACTCATTCGAGTAATATGAATTATTATATAGCTATTCACAAGAGACTGGAAAGAGTAGAAATTTATTTTTTTTATCAATATGCAATTTTTGTGAAAATTGTTTGAATTGAAAATTAGATTCAAATGAAATTTGAAAATACTTTTTTATCATATTAAAAAACAATATATCTTTTTTTCATTAAAAAAACATAATTTATGGCACTATGAGGTAGAGTTTTGCTCAGGTTTGAGTACAAGATTGGAACAAAAGGATGCAATTGCTTAAGGTTTCATTGTAGATCTTTTGTTAATCAAAATTGTAATTTTTAGCATATGGAGCATGTGCCAGAAATATTTTAGGCTGGGCCGAAAATTTTCCACCCATCAGAACTTCAAGTTTGAGTTAGACTAGGTTTAACATGGGCTTAGACTTTTGCCAAACTTATTCAACCCAAAGACAGCCGAAACAAAAATATATTTTGTTACTAGTCTTTTGGAGAATTGTTTTTCAGGCTCTCACCTTGTACAAGAGCAAAAACTTGACAGTGCAAAACTTGAACATCATAGATGCACAACAAATTCATGTTTCCTTTGAAAAATGCACCAATGTTCAAGCTTCTAATCTGACAGTAACAGCCCCAGAGAAAAGTCCCAACACAGATGGGATTCATGTCACACATACTCAAAACATCCAGATCACGAACTCTGTCATTGGAACAGGTATGCTATGTCATTCATTAACCAAATCACACTCAAAATTTTAACCAATTTTTAATTTCCTTTTTCCTACCGTAATCTAACTTAATATTTTTGTTTAAGGTGATGATTGTATCTCAATTGTAAGCGGATCCCAAAATGTGCAAGCCATGGACATAACTTGTGGCCCTGGTCATGGAATCAGGTCTTCAGCTCAAACTCCTAACCTTTCTTTTCTTAACCTCAACTGATACATCGAAAAACATGGACCCCATGATTTTCAATTTTTTTTTCAATTTATTTACTTACATATATCCGTTTGTGATGATGGAACTCAGTATTGGGAGCTTGGGATCTGGAAATTCAAAGGCTTATGTTTCAGGTGTAATTGTCGATGGAGCTAAGCTTTCTGGAACCACAAATGGAGTCAGGATCAAGACATGGCAGGCAAGTGCAGCTCTTTCAAATAATATCTATGATGTACATTCAGGATCCTTTAATTATTCAGATGGCATTAACATTCAATTTTCTATAATTAATGATCACCAGGGAGGGTCAGGAAGTGCAAGCAACATCACATTTCAAAACATTAAAATGTATAACGTAACCAACCCCATCATCATAGATCAAAACTACTGTGATCAAGAGAAACCATGCAAAAAACAGGTGACCAAAAAGTATAATAACTGTTTGTTTATTTCTGCAAAAGAATTGATTCTAATGTAGAAGAATTCGATTCATTTAATTTGTACAGAAATCTGCTGTTCAGGTGGAAAATGTGGTGTACAAGAACATCGAAGGGACTAGTGCTTCCGCAGTGGCAATAAAATTTGATTGCAGTAAGAGACATCCTTGCAAAGGGATTGTGCTACAAAATGTTGACTTAGAGAAACAAGGAGAAAATGTCAAAGCAATCTGCAACAATGTTAAATTGAGTGAAATGGATAATGTTTTCCCAGAATGTCCTTGTCCTTGAGAGGAATGGTTATCAATTAGGAGATTGGCCTTTCAGGTGCTTGGAGGACTCTCAAGTTTACAGAGATTGCTTCTCTTTACAAATGCTAGGCTGACTCTGTAAATTTGTTAATTTGATATAGGATATACCGCAGAAGCATTGTTGTAAAATCTGATTATCCGGTTGCCTTATGAATAAAAGTAAATCCCTATATTGTTGCAGTGGTTGAAGTTTGCTTCTACACTTTACTGGGTGAAACTCCTATTTGAACGCACAAAATTCTCAGTTTTCCCATTGATTCCTGTCATAAAGACTGCAAATATTCTTCATAGATGATTAACCTCTGTGTTCATAATAAATCAAATGAAAAAATAATGAAGGTTTTGAGGACTTACGTTGGATTTACCGACAGTCCATTAAAAAACTGCTGAAAGCAGACAAATAATTGTACGACTTTACAATGTACTGCTACTTTGAAATTTCAAGTACTGCTAGGAAAAAGCAAGTGTGAAGTTCTTTTCCTTACACAATTAATACTTCTTTGATAAGTACCTTCATCTGTTGACAAAGATTGAATTCCAAGTCTTTTAAGTATCAAATTACTTAAACTTAATCCAAAAACTAAGATTAGATAAGATTGCAGATGCGTGTTGCCATGGAAGCAATAATTATGCGATCAACATGAAAGAAGAAATCTAGCCTAGCTAGTAGTGCCCCTAACTTGTTATAACCTTGATTATATGGTCAAGTTTAGACACATCACGCAAAATGAAGATAGAAAAAGTAATTGCAGGCATGGGATTGATTACGTGTACGAGCAGGCCATAAGCATTAATGTGATTTTGCATCCAAATTTGAAGTAGAGGTGTCAAATGAGTGGACTGATAGTTTATTAAAAAATTAATTCATATATTAATTAATCATGTTGATTCGGTATTATTATTTAATATGTTATATTGATATAATTTATAAAAATTAAGAATATGATTCAGTATGACACATGGCTCATAGTTTTTATGGGTCATATTATACCTAACACAATATTATTCTTAGTGTTGTATCATGTCAAGCACTACCCATTAACAGTTTCTTATATTTTTATCTTTTTTTATTTTTTTTTGTTTTTAATTATCTTTAAAAACATATGTATAAAATTAATATGCAAGGCACATAATTCATATGGTTCAACAAAATAATAAAAGTTGAAAGCATCCACTAAAATAATATATGAAAATTAAGTTAATTAACAAATACTAATATTACATTTATTTAAAAAATGAATATTATATTATTATTTTTATTTCTTATCTTATTATTGATTTTTTCATAATCAATTTTAAGTAATATATATTTCCTATTTTTTTTAGAAAATAATAAATCAAAATGAAAAAAATTATAATTTTATCTACTAATTGTTTAAATATTTTATAAGTTAATTTATTGATACAATTTAATTTTTATAAACGGTTAACATAAAATATCAAAAGAGCAAAAGAATGTCCATTATATAATAAGAGTAACATAAAATATAACTAAAAACCAATAGATTAAACTCATTTATAAAATTTATGGACTAGCACAAAACGATATATTAGTGTTTGTGTATCATATTGTGTTTGTTAGAGGTGTAAATGATATATCAGTACTCGTAAACTACTCAGAATCGATTCGAATAAAATTCAAATTTGACTCGATTATTATTGAGTCAAGCTCGAGTTCAAATAACTCAACTTATCGATCGAGCTGAGTTTGAACATTTTATACTCGGTTTGAGTAGCTCGCGAGTCTAATTAAGTTTTTATATTTTAATATATTTTAATTATTTTAATTATTTTAATTGATAAAATATTTCAAACTTGAGTTTGAACTCAAGTACAAATAATTAAATTTTTATCGAATATAATAATCAAGCTCATTTTTACATGTTAATCGAGTTTAATCAAGAGAGATTGAGTAGCTTAATTTTTATTTTGAATTGAATTTGAATTAAAAAAATAAAATTTAAGTCAAATTTCAAGTCTCAAATTTAGAATCGAGCTCGAACTTAATACTGTATCGATTTAAATTTGATCGATTACACCTTTAATATCAACCCATATGTTATATGCTGACACTAACTCTTAATGGATTATACTATGTTAACCTAATAAACCCAAAATTTCTAGCCTAATATGGCACAAACATATAAGTCGTACTTGACATAGACATAATCAGACTTATAATTTTAATAATAGAACTTGTTAAATATGGTCCACATGATATCGAATTCGTATGGCTATCCAACCTATTTGATACCCTATTTGAAGCTTTAAATACTTAATTATTCTGTTATGATATTAATGAATAATGAATAATAATTGCCTATTTAAACCATTCACAATAATGTCCCAATCTAATAGCATGGAGAATCAGAATTATAATGACTGGTTACTTGAAAAGAATTGGGGGATCTTCTCAAGTGATTTTGGGACTATTAAATATTACTAACACAACCACCATAATCATTAATTAATCAATATTAAATCAATATTTTATGTAAGTTCATTTCATATATATCATGGCTTCCATTTTTATGGTTGATCCAAAATTTATTGGAGAGAAGCTACCTTCCTTCCTAATAGCCATGACTAAGCAACACCAATAGTAACAACGTTGGATCGCTGTTTTTTTAAGATATGATTTAAGCTACATAATTACATGTGGTTTTATTTATTTATTTGTTTAGGGTAAAAATAGGCTAATTCTTGCTGTAAAATCATAAAACTTGATACTATATCTACATGTTGAGAAGATCACGTTTATCAAATAAGGGGGTAAGAAAAAAAATTATTAGATACGTAATAATATATGCTATTTTCTACCTTAATCATTAAATTACTATTTTTTTCTTAATAGCAATAAGCCATGGTAGCGTCGAAGTAAGGAAAAAGGTGGTAAAAACATTTGTCTGGATCGTGTCGGCCACAGGCCCACAGCAGCGAAGAAAAGGACAGCAACGAACGAGCCAACCAGGCTGACAAAATGAGAATGGCTCATGGGATAGATCCATTTCACCATCACAATGGTACGGCACACGTCACTCCACAACCCCCCACTTTTTACTTTTAGTAGGACCCCCCATGACCAGATTCCAATCTGGCATAAAAACGATTAAAAAAAAATCTCCGATGTTAGCGCTTCAACTTGAAGTGTTTGTTACCCATTGCACTGTTGCAGCTTCTTCTTTAATTGGAAAGAAAAAGAAAAAAAAAGCACAAGTGTACTAAAAATTAATGTTAAGTTAGGGAGTATGGGTCCTTTAACAGTTTTGCCGTGTCTGACTCTGTTTGTGTCGGTGTGATTTACCCCATTTGCTTTTTTTTTTTTTTTATACAGCTTCTTATTATAGGGGGAGAGGAGTTGGGGTGTTTCAGACACCATTTGTCTCACTTTTTTTTTTGAAGGCTATTTTTTTATTTTTGATTTTGGGTTGAATTTTATTTCAATGAAGTTTTAGTCGTTAGGGTTGTTTTTTGATCTGGAGGGTTGCATTTGAATCGGGTTTTCTCAGAAATTGGTTTTGGAAACCAAATGGATTCAGCTGCAGATTCAGTGGTCAGTTGAGAACATTCTAAATTCCTTTCTTTGATTTTGCTACTTTTTTTTTTGGTTATCTTTGTATCCAAAATTTTATTGTTGTTTGGATCCCTGGAGGTGAGGTGAGGAAAAGGAAATAAATTTCGTTTTTGAATTGTTTCATATTCGACCCATTGTTAAGAATCTGCCTTGCCTTTGGCTAGTTATCTGAAAGTTCCAAATGGGTTCTACTTGTTTGAACTCTTTTACATTCCTTCGATGGATTTAGTTTTATTATTCGTTTGTTAGGTTCTGGAATCTGGATCTTGTTTTTAGCTTCATTACACTCGTTTGATTCTTAGTTGTTCTATAAAGTGTTTTACAATGTTCATTTATAAGTAGAAGTTAATTAATAATGGGATCATATGTTCCCAAATGCCATTAAAGTAGAAGTGGCCCACTCTTCTTTCTTGATTTCTACATCTGGGAATTATGTTGCTGTCTTTGGAAATGACTCTTTATAACTACATTTTGTTCTTTTTTTTTCCCTAAAAAAACATATCTAAATTTTAGTTTTATTGCTTGAAGGCGAAATCCGGTAAAATCAGGGGGCAAGTTTGCCAGATCTGCAGTGATAATGTTGGTCTGACTGCTGATGGTGAGCCCTTTGTTGCTTGCCATGTTTGTGCATTTCCTGTTTGCCGTCCATGTTACGAATATGAGAGAAAAGATGGTACCCAGTCTTGTCCTCAATGCAAGACCAAGTACAAGAGGCATAAAGGTTAAATCAGCTTAACTTTCATCTGTCTTATTCTGTTCGACTAGTAACAAATATCAGACAAGTGACGTATATTTGTTCTTCTTTACCTTTAGGAAGCCCTGCGATTGGTGGGGAAGAAGTGGAAGATGCTGTTGCCAATAATGTAGCAAACAATTCAAATCTTACATCAGGGACACGAGGTGAGAAGCATAAGAAGGCAGAGAGAACACTGAGTTGGGGTACAAATTATAGCCGAGGGGAGGACATGTCACCCCCCAACTACGACAAAGAAGTTCCTCTTAACCATATTCCTTTTCTCACCAATGGCAGTTCGGTAGGTTGAGGAATTATTCACACTGTTTCTTGCTTCTCTTGTTTTTCGGAACTCTGAGAGTAAAATTGACTATAACTCCTCTTGCTTTTGAGTTCCAGGTTTCTGGGGAGCTGTCTGCTGCATCTCCTGCAAGAATCTCAATGGCATCTCCTGAAAGTGGGATCAGGGGAAAGAGTATGGATCTAATCCCTTTATGATGAAGGCACCAATTTTGTTTTGGTTTTGTTGTTGGATGCTACAATGAAGTGATGAGGTTTTTTTTTCAGGCAGCATTAAGTTGGTTGATCCAGTGAGAGAGTTTGGGTCATCAGGGTTTGGCAATGTAGCCTGGAAAGAGAGGATAGATGGTTGGAAGATAAAGCCAGAGAAGAA